TTTTTTTTTTTTTTTTTTTTTTAGGAAAGAGGCAAAATAATACAACTTTATATTAAAACAAACTCTTGTTTATACATGATTCCCTCATGTCTAAATATGATATGAATTTAACATTGCCCTCCAGCTTATATTTAGTGCCCAAGTTTTTAAAAGTTCTCTCTCTTCCTATGTTATCACACTATCGTCTGTTAATGTTCATTTTTTTATTTCCTTCTTTACCTCCCTTCTTCCTTCTTTGATGTTTTTTTTTTTTCCTAATATTAAAACTCAGAAAGTAATTATTGCTCTAAGGACAGACAGAAAGCAGGCTGCATTTAATATTGGTAGACAATGAATGCGCATTGAAGAAGATGATAAAGGGAGAAGTCCCAACAAGGTAAATATATTGTGATGTGAAAGACAGAGAGAGAAAGAAAGGGAGAGAGAGAGATTGCTCCAATAGTAAAAGAGAACAGATCTGTTAGAAGTCACAATACTGCCTACATGCATTTCCCCAGGCCTTCAATAAAACTGAGGTAGCAGTCAGGTGCTTAAGAAAAAAAAGAGAGACAGTGGAAGGATGCCTGTCACTCACAAACTTTTCAGATTTACTTCTATTTCATGCCACGATGGCAACAGAACTGGCTTCTCTTGGGACTGACTGACATTCAGTATAAATTTGGCAAAGAGCTTTTAACTTCTATGCCATCTAATTCTTTCCTCTCTCTTTCACTCTAATATTTCTGGGACTCTCTTTGTATTAGAAGAAAACAAAAGGATTTGAATCGTGATTCTTTCAAAGGTACGGCATTCATGCTCATGCTTTGCTTTGGTGCTAAAAAAAATAAATGGTACAGGGGATCTTTCCCCAAACCTGTGGGATTTTATATCAGTAGGAATTTTACATGCTCCTACCTTGTTTTGGGTTAGAAACCTCAAGGGAAGAAATATTCGGCCATATCCTATTAAACTTTGGAGGAGCTGCATGCATCAGGAAAAACCAGGGTATGTTATTTTCAGTTCTATTGTCATTTGGTCTAAACAGAAAATTATACGGACGAAGACACAAACCACACATCTGCTCTTGAACTTGGCTGTGACACACTTAAACAAAACATGACTCCCACACCAAACAAGAACAAGCAACTGATGATTCCCAGAACACTGAATGGACATCAAATAGATAGCCACTTCCCTAACAAAGCTATACGTTAACTTTTGAAATAAAGTGTTCTAACATAAATAACTGAATAGGGCCTTCGGAAATCCAAACTGTTATGTAAAGCTGGAGCCTGAAATTAGAAGATAACACTAAAGAAATCATTTCTCACTTGAGGATTTCATTCTCCTTCATTTATATTTACAGATACGAACTGGTTGCATTAGTCTTTTGTGAGAGATTCTTTTGGGTATGTTTTAAGTGTGAGCCATTATCTCTGAAAAGAAGTAGATCTATTTCCTATTTTTATATATGCAATTTCTTAGAGAAGGAAAGAGGGGTTACTGGTGATGCTGGCTTATGGGGACTAGTTCAAGGTGCCCCAATCATATCATAGCATATCTCAGGTTTGTATGTTCAGGTATGTATATGCACTCAGGATGCTTTTACAAAAATGGGTTTCTAGTTATTGGCTCTCATCCAAAATAATGAAATGCATTGTTTAATTCAAGAATTGGGATGATTTCTCACTTAGATCCACTGGCAAAACAACCAGCCAAACAAATAAAACACCTGGCTATGAAAGCAGGAGAATGCCAAGTTTAGACTGTGATTTAAAAAAAAAAAGAAATTGCCAGAGGGCACTCGTACTCTC